TTAGGGTTCGGGCTTTAGGGTTTAGGCTTTAGGGTTTATGGAATTAGGCTTTAGGGTTTAGGATTTAGGGTTTAGGCTTCAGGGTTCAGGGTTTAGGCTTCATAGGGTTTGAGGAACTAGGTTTCTAAAAGAATCCGACTGCAGGAGCAAATGAAGCTGGCGGATGCTGAGATGGCCAAGGAGCCTTCAATCTAAAGCCCTAAACCCAAACCCCAAGCTGTAAGCTCTTCACGCCAAGCCCTATAATTGCTAAGCATATTTAATATGGACTATACACCCTAAACGCCAAGCCCTAAACCCACAACCCTCAGCCACCTAAGTCCTGAACCCTTGGCGGTTCAAGGTTTCTTTCCCAAAGGTTCCGAAGCAGCTGCATGGTGCACAACAGGGTTCCTTGATCAGGGCATAAGGCTTCAGGCTCAAAGTACGCAATACACAATAGCTCAAAAGGTCCTGGGTACTGCTTTGAGCAAACTTCCCAAAATCATAAGTGTAATTTCTATATACAGGAACCCTACATTCTCCCATGTAGGTACTTGGGACCGCTTGGGTAGGGCTTCTATGAGAACTGTGCGTCGCATGAACGAGTATCCGCAAGACAGCTGCTTAGGAGCCTGCTAGTTAGTTTAAGCTGCCGTACATAACTTGCGTAACCCATGTTCCGTCGGATCCCAGAGCATGCTACAGTTGGGATTCGCAACGAAACCCTGCAAGAAGTACGTTCTGCTGGTATGGTGGTAGCGCTACATGAGACCCTGCGGCAATCCGACCAAACGCCGCCAGGAAGACGTCAGGTCAGATTGCAGCAATGCTTAGCAAAGGGTTGCACCCGATCTGAAAAATTGTGAAAACCCTGAACCCCAAACCCTACAGCGATCGATCCCAAAAAAACCTTCGAAACCCTAAACCCTAAACCGTAAACCCTAAACCCTAAACCCGACCTAAGGGGAGCCATCAACGCAGCTATGGCCCTGAATCCGACAAGATCCTTCAGAACCCACTGCCGCAAAGTGCCAGAAAAGAGAAACCAAAGCAACAACCCAAAGGGTCCAAGTTACAGTATAGTATAGGTTTAGGGTTAGGGTTTAGGGTTTAGGGTTTAGGGTTTATATACTTAAGGGGCCCAAATACATTCAAAGCAGCTACCATATTCATACTTGGACCCTTAGGGAACAGACAAGAAACAGGACGAGAAGCGCACACAGCAGAGAGGAACTAGTAAACCGAAACCCTAGACCTCGTAAACCCAGCACCCTAAATCCTTATAGCTAGCAGACGGGAAGCTTCCCCCCAAAAAATCCATGAAAGCAAGTATTGTTCCCTATAGGGTGTAAGTATACCCTCCGTAAACCCCATTTGCTAAACCTCAATGAGTTTAGGGTTCAGGGTTTAGGGTCCTACCTATAGTCTCCATTGTAGTTCCTTTTTGAGGATACCTTATAAAATCCTTATAATCTATCTATCTATATATATATATATAATTGGTGAAACCAAAAAATGGAACTACAATGGAGACTACAGGTAGGTTTAGAATCAGAGAAACCCTCGAGCCCAGGCCCTAAACCCTCAGCCCTTAGATTATTAAGTTTCGGGTTTCGGGTTTAGGGTTTAGGGTTTATAGGGTCCTATACCTCGCCCTAAACCCTAAACCCTAAACCCTAAACCGTAACCCTAACCCCTAAACCCTAAACCCTAAACCCTAAACCCTAACCCTAAACCCTAAATCCTCTCAAAAGCCAGAGCCAAAGCCAGAGGAAGCAGAGCTCGGCGATGCCGCGGAGGCAGCGGAGGCTTGGCGGCTCTTCCAGGAGAGCTCTGGGCTCCGTTGGTTTAGGGTTTAGGGTTTAGGGGTTTAGGGTTCAGGGTTTAGGGTTTAGGGTTTAGGGTATGGATACCATGGGGTTCTATGAGGGTTCCTGACATTTCAGGTTAGAAGTATGGGCCCCTGATCTGGACCCTTTTTGCCTTTCTAGGGACCTTTAAGGGTATAGAGGTAGATGTATAATGATCCCAGGGTTACAGGCCCATACTCGGAGCCCATGGTTTCAAACTGGGGCTAGGGTTGCGCCCGCA